ATGAGCTCATTGCAGTGACGGCATGTTTGTTGTTGGCCAGTGTATGAAACGGCTGTTGATTCTCCGTCGATGGTGACGTCAGAGGGGATATTCTTCTTCACCACCATGCGTGCAATACGGACACCCGTGCCAATGTTGTCAAACATATATTTCGAGTCCCACATCACTTCTCGAATTGACAGAACATCACCGTATTCTGATAGAAAATGTGTAATCTCTTGGTCTGTTACGTCCTCCGATAGATCGTACAGTTTCACGTCGACACCTCCGTCCTCCATCCACATCCGGAGATTGTAACTAATGTTGTCCACGACGATTTCGTGCTTGCCGTTATGTTCATCGACTACTCTCTGTGCCACGGCGAGATCACTAGCCTTCACGAAAGCGCAGCCGTGAGTTCTGCTGCACTGAATCCGCTTGACTTCTTCTCGTTTCATACCGAGTTGGGTACCAATGAAGAGATGAAGCTCTTCATACGTTGGTTTTTTAGGCACCTTCGCATAATCGATGCGAAAAGTGTTTTCGCGCCGATTCATGGCGAAGCCGGTACCGTGTTGACGAAAAAGAATAAACACGATAGGCCCGACGGTGCCTGTATAACTACTTCGACCGAGAGAAAGGAAAAAAAACTAGAAAAGTAATCTGTGTTCGACTTCCGCTGTCAAGCTCTAGCGAGAACGCGTCTGCTTTGCTCAGAAGTTGAGCGCTGTATAATCGTATTGTCAATACATTCTATATTGACGTCAATACATGGATATTGATAATATTTCTGAATTCACATCAACATTAGTGTCAATAATTCCTCTTCGCGTCAATATATTCATACGTGTGGGGTTCGCTTTAGCTTGTTGGAGGCTATTCGTTCAATGAGACCGATGAAGCACTCCTCTTATTTCCCGACCGAAATCCGAGCCAAATTGAGTACTTGATCTAACTGCTCCTATGCCATCACTTTAGACTGGGTCCCATCTCATTGCTCTATTCTGCGTAACGAGAAAGCGGACTCGTTGGCTAAAGTGGGCGCTATGTAAGGTGATATTTTGCGAGGGGGGCGACACATCTAAATCTCAAGTTTAGATGCTCAACAAATCTCACACTAGCGAATCAATCTTCGAAAAATCTTCTTTCATTTGTCGCATCTACTTGCATCGATCATCATCTTTTTGCAGGAAATCTTTAGAATCGTTATCAATCTTCTTTCTATCTATTCAGCGTGCGCGCAGTTAGCCACAGCAAAACACTATCTTTTTTGCATCGTAGATAGAGTCGTCCCCCTCGATATTTTGTTCTCAATTACCCGTCAGGAAGTCCTCACCAACTGGCAACAAAAATGAAATGAGAGTGATCTTGGAAGATGGTTACATTCTATTATCCCACAGGTGTCGAACAAACCGTGGTTCAAAGGGTGCCGGGACTGTATACGTGTCATTTCGAGGCTCATGTCCAATCAAGCAGCAATTTGTGCGCCTGAGCTAGTGGTTATCACGAGATCGACCATGTGCTTTGGTCATGTACCCTCCATTGTGTTGCTAGATCCGAGTTATCCGTATCCTTCAGGGCCCGAGGAAAATAACCTATGCCGCCCGTTAGAGACATGGTGGTGAGCAGAGATCTCGACTATTGGAATTTAATTTATGCGTTTTTAAAACGGATTGATCTGAGGATTTAGTAGTTAGTGTCATCTTGTGTTCTCCCAAGTTGTTAGCTGCCCATCGGTGTACCCCCATGTCTGTATTTTTCATCAGCATGTCGCTGAGTTCGAGATCATGAGCACATTGCTCTCCAAACCTAGTGTTCGGAATCCCTACCCTGGCATCCATTTGTTAAAATCGGTTACCCCTAACCTCGAGAAAACCGCGAGTAATTGGCCCCCGCTTTACTAACGTTAGTTTTAAGTAATTTTGTAGTCCAAACAATGAAAATCGGCTTCGCAAAGCTACGGCAAATGAGCCTAGAAAAAATATATATTCACTCACGGGTTAAATACTGTTATTTGCCTAAATTCATTAAAATCAGTTAGAAATTTTGTTTGTCAAAGTTATTTTCGTCTCGTGGTAGGGAGAGCACCTGTTTTCTCATTGTCACATGACGGCCGTGATATTTACCAGGTCTGATCAGATCTGCCGCCATTTGCCGCCCTTCGAGCAATTTAGTCTAAAAAAATGGACTATTTTTGATCAAAACGTCACCTGAAATTATGTGAATATACCTACTTCAAAACAAAGCTTTACAAAAATGTGTATTTTGGCTGTATGAACAACTTTCTACAACATATCAAACTTTTTGAGCCATAGGTATGGTAAAAAAACGGATTATTAGGGCTAGTGAAAAATTCAATTCTTACTGTCTAAATCGTGCCGCTAGAAAGGCAATCCCCCTTATTCTGCGCCGCTGTGGGTGAGGTGAGGTGACTTGTGAAAAAAGTCACCGCGAGTAAGGTGACGCTCCGTGTAAATCAAATGGAGAGTCACCTCACCTCAGGGATGGTCCATTAATTATGTCACGTAAATTTGGCCCATTTCAACCCTCCCTCCCCCCTTTGTCATATTTTTTGTATGGACCTTAATAATTTTTTGTATGGCTCGTCACAGTTTTCAAAACCCCCACTCCCTCCTACATGTGTGACATAATTAATGGACGACCCCTCACTCGCGGACTAAGGGGGAATGTTTTTTGCAACTTTGCTGAAGACACCAACGTATTATCCAATTGGTAATTGGTAAAAGTTGATTTTTCATTTCACTCCTAGGGTGATTAATCAAAATGCAGGATACGTCAAAAGATAGCACCCGAAATTCAAAGAAACTTTCCCGAAGACAGCACAGGCCTGAAATCAATTTTTCTCATTCAAAAATCAAACGATCACGTTTTTCATGATTGACTTTACTTCTAATCCCACTTCTAAAATTTGTGATGAAATTGTCTATGACCAAGGAATCAAAAATATCTCCGAATGACAAAATGACAAGCGATCAACGAACCGAATGATAACGCTATGTCAGAAGTGGAAAGCAATAATGATATAATCTTCTTCCTTTTTTTTTCATGACAAGCAGCCCGTGCGACACAGCTTACTCGGGGCGGTAGAAGGAAACGAGCAAATTGTTGACAAGCTGCTTCACGAAGTAAAGCCGAAGATGATACACGTGTGTTAATGGGAATTTTTGTTATGTCTTTTCTCGATTCAGATTAAGCTATGTCCCCATCCGTGAATATTGCAACAAAGCAGGCAAGCAATAGGTGAAATAGCTCTAATGTTGGCCTATGGATCTAAGATTGGGCCCATCGCTAAAAATCTGCTATTTATCAATTTTATCTAGATGAACGCGCCATTGGGACGGTACTAATGGATATTTTTGGTCACTATTGAAAACTAGCTGAATTTATGTATGGGCCCAAATTAGGAGCATTTAGGCCGACATTACATCCATTTCCCCTATATATATTTTATTTCTTTATTAAAGAGACTTTCAGCCTTGGTCTGGTTCGTCTCTGGGAATCCCAGATGGGGATTCCCCTATTTGAGGGTTAATTTGGTGGCCCTGGAAGAAAACCTCCGAAAAGAGGGTGGGGCTTAAAAATGGGGTGCTCAGTGGCTGTCTTAATACTGTCATTTTGTTGAAGAATTCCGTTTTCGTTGCGTTGGTCGGTATAGTTGCTGATGTGGGTGGTTAGTAGCGAGATTCAGGTTCCGAGTGTGATCTGGTATGGTGGTGATGGTGTGTTAGGTGATCAGATTAGCTTCCCGCAGAAAAGCTAGAAGGGCTGTGATTCTGGTAGGATCGTTACCGAGAGCATCGCGGATGCTTCCCGGGATGTCGTAGCGGGTTCTTGGTGCTTCGTATTTCCGACAGTGGCAGATAATGTGATCCACCGTTTGTGGAATTCGGCATAGATCACAGATCCTATGGAATGGTCCGTCTCCCTTGTAGTTGTGGGAGATGTTTGTATGATGTGTTCGAAGTCGGGTTACTATAACCTGCTCTCGATGTAACGGTGGGTCACCCTACCTGGAGATGTCTCTTTTAATTTTTCTGGTGGCAGGGGTTTCACTGGCCACCCAATCACGAGCCCAACCTTCGTTGGTGATTTTTGATACCCATTTTTTGAGGTCCGGACCAGGTACAATTCGCGTGTACTTGGCCATGCAACGACCTGGGTTGGCTAGTTGGCCCGCATTTACGTTACCATGGACCCCGCAGTGTCCAGGTATCCACACAAAGAAAGTGTTGTTTGGCGCGTGTTCCTGTATCGCCTGGATCCAAGGGTGTTTGCTCGTATCGGATTCCAGTGAGGCTACCACAATAGCGGAGTCGGTGAAGATGGCTATTGCTGGTCGGTCGTCGGGAATGCTGGCTGCAATGAAGGCGGCAATGGCTTCCACAGAGAAAATGGAGCACTGATCCGGAAGTCTATGGCATTCCGCGAGGTTTGGGCAGAAAATTCAGATTCCTAGCTTTCCCTGGGCTTCCGAACCATCCGAGTACCGAATGGTGTATCCTCCATATTTCCGGTTCTGGAGTTCGACTACCGCTTGTGCCACCGCTGAAGGATTGGAACCAGCTCTGAATTAGAGTTTGATTGTGTGGTCGGTCAGAATCTTCGGCTTGATCCAACCCCTCGCTCAGCCCCAGTAAACCTTGGATATTGGGGAGAGTCGGGTTGGACAAGCAATCAATATATCATTATCCTTCTACCACTCCGATCGAGCTATGTTACAGAGCGAGTTTGTCTTGGTAGTTAGTCGTAGCAACCATTTTGTCTGTATCGTTGGTTGCTTTATGCTTTTGGATTCGCTGTCAATGACTATTTCGTGGCAAGCGAAAAAAATAGGCAAATTCTTTACACTCAACATTATGACTATCGGATGACTTATAAGTGACTGACCGAGCCAATAAAAAGCGACCTGCTACCAGCCCTGCTTATCACAATGTCAACTTAGAAACTAAAGGTTTTTCTTTCCTCCTATTTCCGATACACTTTCCCGGAACCTTCGCACATTTCGATAATCCTCAATTTTTCTTCGTTTTTATTTAGATTTTTCTTTTCATTCATTCTTCTCAGCGCCTGCCTTCATCATCTGCAATAGATATATGCCTATTTACAAACATTTACAATTGTGTGAGTGTTTCTGCGTGTATGTTTAGGTGATACAATAAACGGTCCAGTACTAGCTGTCTATTCGTTCTTCGGCTAAATTTCCGTACAGTTCTCAATCACACGGACACTCTTCCACCTAGCTAAATCCTGTTTGCATGCAAGAAGTGTGTTTAGTTTCACAGCAACATCATCATCGCTTCCGTACTGGTTTTAGGAGACTTGTTCACTCAGAGCTTTTTTTCACTCTTCTGTTCGCTTCTAAATTTATACAATATGTATGTTTCTAATATGAATGTATATAATAAAAATTAAAAAATAGATCTTCATATATATTGGTTTTTCTGTTTCACACTTTTTTCGTTTTCTTCTTACGAATTTCCATTCTCTTTACTTATGCTGTGTATGTGTATGTTTATGTATCGTGTTGTTGTTTGTTGTTGTTATTTTGAAGTCAGAGTTCCTCCCTTCAATTCTTCGTCTTATCAATCTATTCCGCTAATCCATTCCATTCTGTTTCACATTATGATTATTATCTTCTTTTTTTTTGCATGTTTATACATTTTGAATGTTTCGTTCCATGGAGATTTCTCTAAATGCCTTCACCTCTGCCTTCGAGATCCAAAAACGTGTTAAAAGAAAAGGTCAAATTTGCTCTTAGCTAAAAAGTAAAGAATGAACGAAACAAGATACACAATCTTCAACTTTAGGAACTAAAACAGAGCAGGGGGACAGGGGAAAATTTATTGTAGCTAGATAAATTTGATGAAATTTCTCTCATTTTGGCCTAAACTATGTAATCGTTCCTAAACCTAACTAGTGTTCAGTGGATCGCTGTGTTGAGTTTTGCTCTGTTTGACGGGTGTGAATTAACGGGGAAAGTTGGCCTTCTACGCTTACAATCACAACAATCGCTGAGTGGAGAAACAACGGGGACTTGAGCATTTGGCTTTTGTGTTCTGATTCTATCGTCGGGGCAAAATCAATCACCCCAATATCATTACTGGTTAGGCAGTTCTCAGAGAGTGTGTTTCATCGGTTGGAAAATGCACGGGAAATGATTCCCCTTGGTACCTTTTTTTGAGTTTTGTAGCAATAAATCCATGTTCTTTACTAAACCAAATCCGTCACGTGTAATACTTACGACTTTTTATTTGTCTTCACAGTTGTCACACTCAGTTCCTTCGAGATGTATCGCTTCTCCCCGCATTCCATGTTTTGTTTTCAGATTTACTTTGTTTTTGTTTAGAAAAATATATATCACATATAGCATTTTTTTTTTCATCATCGTCCTTCTGTCAACCCTAACTGCTGCTGATGCTACTTTGCTGGTTTTGACCATCTTCTGAATTTTACACTGCTCCCTTCAAGCCGTCCTAAAATGTGTCAATTTTAACGCACCTAATTAAGTAGTATTAAAGAGAAAAATCGTTGGCAGTCGACGAATTCGTTCGACAAAAACACACGGAGGGAAACTCGCGACCACGCACTTCTTGGAATCAAACCCGAAAACCGATTCCGACTTCTTTGCAATTTGCCTAAACTATGCTGCTACAGTCAACAGAAGGTAAAAGTAAAAACTTAATACCTCTTCCTTTCTTCTTCCTTGCAGTTTGTTTTAGGTTCTACAATAGTTATTTGTTTTGTTTTATGTAACACTTTTGTTCGCTATATTTTTTTTTCTGGACCCGGAGGATAGTACAAATTTCCTTTTACTGTTTTTATTACATTTCCCATCATACAGTTTCCGTTCGACCGACACACGCGATGCTAGTCTAGTTTTGATACGTTTGCATTTTCATCTCAGATTCATTCGTTAATCCATCTCTGTGTCTAAAGTAAAAACCAACCTAGTCCACTTCAGTGGTGACTTCTCAGTTTTTAGATCATAAACAAACAAAAGAACAACTGAACTGGATGCTCCCGAAAATATCAACGAGTTCAACCCACTTTCACTTTACTCTAATACCTACAATACCACAAAGATTTTTTTCTTCTTTTGTTTTGTTTTGCAAATTTTGATTACGATCTAATGTGTCTCACTTTGTATTGATTCAGAATATAATACTCATTCGTTCAATAATTCGCTTTAAATCTTTCGTCTCTCTACCGATGCTTTATTTTAGTTTGTCTTATCTTCTGCTGTTTTATAATGAGAAAAAAAACGTCTATTTGATTCTCGGTTTCCTATTTGTGTGTACATGTTTGAGTTTTTTTTTGTTTTGCTTACTTGCTTGAATCAATGAGTTGGGTTTTGTTTGTTTGTTTCGTTCCATTTTTTGGTTCACCTTAGAAAAATAAAAATATCTTATAAATATTGTTATTGTTGTAGTAGTGGACATTCTCAAAGAACGCACTGCTGTTGTTGCTCGTGTTCAGGCTGTTGCTGCTGTTGATGGCCGCCGATGGGCCCCGGCTGCTACTATTGCTACTGCTGCTACTGGTGGTAGAACGTCCATCATGTCAGACCTTATTGTTGGAGTAGTGGCGCCGGGGCAGCTCGCCGTACGTGCTCCGATCCGGATAGGCTTCGGCGTACAGCTCGGCATTGTTCATCCTGCTATAATTCTGTATTAGCGGTGCGGTTGCTGCGGATGGGATGGGTTCGGTTAGTTATACGCACTTTACTGTACAAATGTTCACACACAGTTTTCTTTTTTTGTTAGTTGATGTTAAACCACAAACAAATTAAATAATTTAAAATGTTAGTAATCATTACTGGAACAATAGACGTGCGCAGACTTTAGGTTTACAGACTGAATCAGGGAGTGAATTTACAGAAATGCTTCGCCAAATGTGGACGAGACGACCTACAAGATGACGAACGAAAGATAGGTAATGGAGTGTTCAGTTTGAGGCAGAGAAGAACATAAGATTGGCACTATACATAGTACCGTAAAGTGTGATAATTATACGTACTTAAGTTCTAATTCTGTGCAGTTTGAAAAAAAAATAAACGGTTGTGTCCTAAGCACGACCGTTATTGACGCAGGAATACGAGATTGTTCTTGTTGCTCAATTCAACAACAATTACGTTTGTAAAATCAACAAGTTATGAATCAAATTCCACACCCATTTAGGATAGAACCTATTCAAAATTTGGATCGACATATGTTCAATCAAATATCGGTAGTTGACAATGTTTATTTTAAAACGGTTTATTTTAGTCTTCAATTTAAAATCAATCAAATATCTAACGCTGTAACTGTTGTTTAAAACAATTGAAAGTCAATTTAGTTGTATCATAGTAACATATTTTAAACTCACAACAGAACTGATCTATCCCCGTTTACAAAAGGCATAGGGCTATATTTAAATTTGCAACTGTACCTTCAAGAGTCAAGTGGACTGTAAAAACCGAAGGGCTCAGCGTTTGCAAGAATAAAAAACACATCCGCACGCGTGAGCTTCTTAACAATGTCTAATTTATGTCCTTTCTCTTTGCATTGGATGAAACTTAAGATTGGCGACAGTGAATTTAGGTGTGAAGGCATTAGATATGAAAACACGGTAAAAGTTGGATAGTGGGAAAAACGACAATTGTTCCGTTGTACATCCTCCCGGCCGTTGAAATGCTGAATTTCAAACTTCCGGCATAGTTTCAGGATTAGCCGCATCTTCTTCGTCTAATGGCAACAAGCACACATTCTTCACCGCTCGTTTGATGATCGAATCCTTCGTCTTCATTGTAACCACTCGTACGTGGCCATCTTGGCCCGGATGTAACTCAGTGATACGCGCAAGACTCCACTGAAGTGGAGGTAGATTATCGTCCACGATCAACACTAACACGCCAATCCTGAACTTGGTGACCTTGAAATCCCGTTGACGCCGTTGAAGCTCTTGGAGATAATCTGTCGACCAAGTCTGCCTATACTTTTGCCTCAAGTCCTGAAGAACCTGCTAGACAGCCTGCCGACTTTAACGTTTTCGAACGATGGTTCTGCCAAAGCCTGAAACTCCCGGCCGATCAGAAAATGTGCCGGAGTAATAGCTGTCATATCGTTTGGGTCGTCCGATGATGGAATCAATGGGCGTGAGTTCAACGTTGCTGCTATATGTGCCAATGTCGTTGACAATTCTTCATATGAAAGTTTGTGATCGGCCAGAATCGGCCGGAGGTGAAATTTGACCGATTTCACCCCAGCCTCCCATATCCCTCCGAAGTGTGCACTACGGGGAGGTATAAAGGACCCATCGATGTTTCGCTGAACGCAAAATTCATTCAGCATCTTCTGATGCATTTCCGTTTCGAATAGCTTGGCAAGTATTGCTAGTTCGGTATTCGCACCAACGAAGTTGGTGGCATTATCTGATATAATCTTTGAAGGTAGACTCCTTCTGCTCACAAAACGTGAAGGGCAGCCAAGAACGCATCGGTTGAAAGACTTGAAACTGCTTCCAAATGTATAGCCCGCGTAGCCATACACACAAAGACGCATACGTACCCTTTGGTCATCACACATTTTTTAACAGAAACCGCAGCCTTCAGTGTGAACGGTCCGGCGAAATCCACTCCGACGTTGGCGAATGGATACGTTGCTTGTACTCTGTATTCTGGCAAATCTCCCATCAACTGCGTCGCTGTCTTCGGGTTTGCTCGATAGCAAGGTGTGCACTTATGGATCACATTTCGAATAATATTCTTGGCTCTAAGAGGCCAATATTGTTGTCTCACAACAGCAAGCAGTGCACGCTGACCAATATGCATGTTGCTTTTATGAAGATAGCGGACAATGGCAATCGTCACTGGATGGCTTGCAGGCAGAAGTAACTGATGTTCACTGTCGTAAGGAATCTGAGCGTTTCTAATCCGTCCTCCCACTCGAAGTATGTCATCCTTCTCATCGATGAAAGGGTTCAAGCATTTCAACGGATACTTGAAGTCCTTTTCCTCCGTCAACGCTCTGATTTCCCAATTAAGGTCCATATAAAAAATGTGACAAAGGGGAGAGGGGGGGGGGGGGGGGGGGGGTTGAAAATGGGCCAAATTTGCGTGACATAATTAATGGACCTTCCCTCAGGATCTAATGCGTCATTCCACGGAATCTGATGCAGTGAAACTTTATCATCTGGAGAATTCCTTGAAGGGTATTGCAGTTGGTGCCATGGACCTGGAAACTTTGCAGAACAATAACTACCAACGTGCCTGGGATATCCTGGAGGAAAGATTTGGTAACCAACGCCTGATTCTAGAATAGCATATTCTAGACTTCCTGAATCTGAACAAGATGACGAAAAAGTCTTTGAAGGACCTCCGGAACCTCGTCGATGAGTGTTCCCGCCATGTTGAGAATCTAGTTAAGCTCAACCAACAGCTTACTGGGATGTCCGAGCTATTCGTAGTGACTGTGTTGACTCGAGCGTTGGATGACCAGACCCGTGAATTGTGGGATGCTTCCATCGATCCAGCTCCCTGAATACGAGCCAACGATCGTTTTTCTGAAGCAGCGTTGCGTTATCCTGGAACGGTGCGAGAAGAGAGCTCCAGAGTCGTCCAGTATTAAGATGATGGTCCAGAAGACATCGTTCCCTAAGGTTATGCCATCCAAGGCTTCACATCCAGCGTCAGTGACATCACTATATTCGTGCGACTTCTGTTCAGAGGAACATCAAAACTATAAGTGTCCAACATTCCAGAAGATGACCTCAGAACAGAGAGTGGCTAAGGTGAAGGAAGTAAACCTGTGTTTTAACTGCATACGAAAAGGCCATCGCAGTGCAGTGTGTTCCAGTAACAAATCATGTACGAAGTGCTCCAAGAAACATCACACATTGGTTCATTTTGAGCAGCGTGAGAAGCCGGAAGTGATTTCCAGTGAAACACCGAAGGTACCCGAGGAGAACAAAGCGCCAACGGTTGAGCAACCTGTGCATTAGACTGATGCAAAATTTGAAATGTTCGCTCCACACTGTTCAAACGGTTTCAAATCAGGTCCTGATAAACCTCCGAAAGTTTAAACTCATTTGATAAGACACTGACTTGGCACAAACCATTTGAAGTTTATATGGAAATTACTATGGGAAAAAAAAATTTTTTGTTCATTGTCTTCTAGCCTTTTAACATATTGTACTGTTTACAAATTCTATTGCTATTCTTATGGGAATTTTTATCAGCTACAACTTTGCAGAAAATCGTTTTTCAGCCAAGCGTCAAATTAAATACTTATTAATTGTTTAGGAGAATGATAATCTTATGGCAAAATTAAGCAACTGTATTGTGGGCAACACTGTATTCTGCAGTGTGACATAGTGCCATGATTTTTGCAAGGGGGGGAGGTGGCTGTCAAATACGAACAATCGTCGCCTACCTCGCATAACTGGTTCCAAACGTAAACAAGCCATAAGAAACCTACAGCGTTTGTTTACGTTTGGAACCAGTTTCATACAAGGTGATCAGTAGGCTGATTTGACAGCATATCCCCCCAGGATTTTTGTCCTCTATTCTACGCGCCATAAACACCAATGTTGCCTGCTGAACAGCCTGAACAGTTGATTGAGCATAATCATAAGACATCAGTGACTTGGATCATTAATAATTTTTGTTCCTTACATTTGATCGAAAAGTGTTCTTTAACAAAGTTGTAGCTGGGAACATTTTCAACAAGCTCAGCTATCATTTTCTGAAGTAGAGTGAACTGGTGAATTTTGAGATAGATATGAACCGAAATTATAGTTTCTTCATAGTAATTCCCATATAAACTTCAAATGGTTTGTGCCAAGTCAGTTTCTCACTAAATGAGTTCAAATTTTGGCTAATCAGGGCCCAATTTGGAACCGTTTGAGCACTGTGGAGCGAAAATTTCAAATTTTGCATCGGTCTACTGTGCATGCAACCTGTTCTAGCAGCGGTTATCCACACAAGCAAGCGTTCCTGATGACAGCGATGGTGTGTTTGACATCGAATAACGGACAAACTCAACAAGTACGAGCATTAATTGATTCCGGATAGCAGATAAATCTACTTGCTGAACATGTTGTGCAACGGCTGAAACTTCCAAAGTATTCGACCAATGTACCTGTTATCGGTGTTGGAGGTAGCAGATCCCATATCCGTCACAAGGTGGTGGTACAAATGACATCGAGCTATAGTGATTTTGCCACCAACGTCGAATGTCTCGTTACTCCGAAGGTGACAGGCACCATTCCGTCTGCACGTGTGAACATTGATTCTTGGAACATCCCTCCCGGTATTCTACTGGCTGATGCTTCATTCTGCAGTCCAAGTGAAATAGACATGCTGATTGGAGCTGAATTATTTTTCCACATCCTAATGCAAGGCCAGATAAGGATGTCCAATCGCTTGCCGACATTGTACGAGACTTCGTTCGGATGGGTTGTAGCCGGTTCATACGAGGAGCCAGAGGAAGATAATCCAGTGTGTGCCAACATTGCTATGACTGATGGTTTGGAGGCGTGTATGCAACGATTTTTCGACCAGGAGGAAATTACCGAATCCGCTATTATGACCAGTGAGGAGCAGCTTTTCGAAGAACATTATCACCGTCGCGATGAAAATGGACGATCTGTGAACCAATTAGGAAATTCCAGGTCGTTGAAAACGGTTCCTGCTATTGGAGAAGAAATT